ATGAGAACGAGGCTACAGAAGGTAAACGTCACAAACGTAACCATAACGAGGCTACAGTAAAGAAATGTCACAAACGTAACCATGTAACAATGAAAACGAGGCTACAGTAAGAAACGTCACAAACGTAACCATGTAACAATGAAAACGAGGCTACAGTAAAGAAACGTCACAAACGTAATCATGTAACAATGAAAACGAGGCTACAATAAAGAGACGTCACAAACGTAACTTTGTAACAATGAAAACGAGGCTACAGTAAAGAAATGTCATAAAACGTAACCATGTAACAATGGAAACGAGGCTATAGTAACAAACGTCACAAACGTAACCATGTAACAATGAAAAAGAGGCTACAGTAAGGAAACGTCACAAACGTATCCGCGTTACAGTGAAAACGAGGCAACAGTAAAGAAACGTCACAAACGTATTCGCGTTACAGTGAAAACGAAGCAACAGTAAGGAAACGTCACAAACGTATTCGCGTTACAGTGAAAACGAGGTTACAGTAAGGAAACATCACACACGTATCCGCGTTACAGTGAAAACAAGGCAACAGTAAGGAAACGTCACAAACATATCCGCGTTACAGTGTAAACAAGGCAACAGTAAGGAAACGTTACAAACGTATTCGCGATACAGTTAAACGCAGGAAAAAAGACTATAGTAACCCTATTATAATGAAAACGAGGCTACAATAAGGAAATGTGACACTGAAAACCAGGCTGCAATAAGGAAAACTTTACAAAAGTATTTCATGTAATGGTAAAACAAGGCAAATGTATCATTATAAAAATGAAAATGATACTTCATTATGAAAACGCCACAAACGAAACCTTGTTGAAGTAAAAATGAAGCTACAATATCAAACAATTACAAAAGTATCCATGTAACGGAGAAAAAACGAGGCTTAAACAAAGCGCAGTATAATATGAGAAATTGGACACAGTACTTCGGATATCAAAATATTGTTGTATCCCTTGTCGTATAACGGAAAGAGAACAAACTGATGTTTCACATTTTATTACTCAATACATAAGTATATATCTGCTAAGGACAAATACCAAATTCGAATTACCTAGACTGGGCTATTCGACCACTATTTATAATGACAGCTATTAACATAAAATGTTAAGATATAGTTCCCCCTTAGCATTAACAAGCGGTTTGCTCAGTTATGTCAAATAATATAACAAATATATATGTATATCCAAATGCTTTTGTTGATGCATTTTGTGAGAAAGACATCTTCAAAGAGAAAGTTTGATCTCACACCTGGTACGTGGTTGAGAACCAAATCCATCCCTTTAATCTAAAACCGTTTCTATGGCCATACAAGGTTTTGCCATAGACTGCAAAATATAACTTTTGTTTGGTTACTAGGATATGTTTTCATGTGTTAATGATATAAACTTTAAATGTTTTAACACTTACTTTTTGTGTCAGTTCCATCTGTTACTTTCCTACCAAGTGCGACATTTAGCGTCAAGGGGTTGCGACATTTAGCGGCAATCGATTTGTGTGCGACATATATCGGCAACGTTGCGACATTTAGCGGTAGGCAATTGCGACATATAGTGTTGATTGCGACATATAGCGTCAGCGTTGCGACATTTAGCGTTAGTTGCGACATATAGCGGCGTTGCGACATATAGCGTTGCTACACTGTTCATTAAAAGATCATAATACCATTTTACAACTGACGGTTTCTTATCAAAATATTCTAGGAATGTTCATCATAAATACTTTATGTCATTTTAATATCATTGAATGATAATAACAACTGCAAGTTAAGCAACATTTTAAATGAATATAAAAATTAAATGTACCATAACTGAGATCAATAAGACACTGTCTTGTGATGAGTATTAATATTCATGCTCTACGGACAGAAAGTTGTCTTCTCTCGAATAAAATCACGTTTCAGAAAATTATTCCCATTTCATTACTCGTCGCTGACTTTGACGGATTATATTAAAGCTTAATATTTCTTGAAAATATACATATCTGCAAAGTTTATTCAAAATTGAATCAACCTAAGTGAAAATTGATCAGGAAGTTATATCTTCTTTTTCTTTCTTCTGGTAGTTAATCGATAGATTTTAAATCTCACTAGCTTGGAATATATACTGCGGAAAATCTGTTGTTAACAGGGTGTGCGGTTATTACGTAGGGTTTTCCTTGTCGACCATTTCCCGCAAAAAGATGAGAACATAGAAGCGTCAGTGCTATGAATGGTGTTAAAAATAGCGTGTTTTGGATGTTTTTGTTGAAACTTCTCCAAATCCCTCCAGATGTATGCACGTCGAGGAGAAAGCACACGGCAGGTCAAGGTCAAGTCATCTCAAGTACCAGAGGTGATTGGTTGACCTGTCGTAACTTACTCTGGAGGTTTGGCGCTAATAAATGCCGTTTTTGTTGTCGTCAGTCAGGAAGTTGATGCCTTGACAGTACTGTCGTCTCCTTTACCACTAACGAACGAAGAATGGTTATCCCGGTGCCGAGAATAAATGAACTTAAAACACACACTCTTGTTGACAACAAAACAAAAAAAAACAGCAACATATTTTCTGTAGTAATTTTTCAAGTGTTGTAAAATGAAAACGAAATTCGTCTTATGCCGCCAATTATTTTTAGAACACAAACATATAAGTTCTTTTTATTTGATTTATTCAAATAAACATTAATCACTTCAGCGCGTTTCAGTTTAGAATTTCATAAGATATGTTGATGAATTTCCGATGCTCGACTGTAAGACTGTAAGTATATATATATGCGTTTTTTTGTTTTGTTTTTTAAAGCTTCTTATTCTTTTATATTTTTATGTATCTTATAATCTTTATTGAAAATTTTATAACACATCAAATTATGATTCGTTGCTCTAGAATTGAATAAACTTTCTAATTACACAATACGGGGTTATTCATTTGATTGAAGACTGATCTTTACGTCTTTCTCTGAAATGATTATTTCCTTGTTAAAACATATTTGACCGCATATTTCTGTCATTTAACTGTTCACTTTACTTCCGATTTTTGTTGTACCGAAACACACGTTTCTATTTGTGTTTTCTATTCGAATCTATAATCAGTTTAATGGGGTCACCACCGGGTAAGCGACTACTAGGTACTTTGGTCATGTTTTTTACCCCAAATATTTTAATGTTTCTATTGGGATTAAAATGAGCGTAGATAACTAAACTACTGGTTGTATAAATCCCTGACCTGTCTAATTCTAATTATGAGATTAGTGGATATATTAAGACTTTCACTACAAAATATTCCTAAACAAAAGAGCACATGTTTAAATTTATTCCTTTACAAATAAAAGATCAGATTAGGGATCTGTCAATTGCCAGACATATTTTTAAAAGATACTTTTATGTTAAAAGTTTGATTAATGAATTATGTAAGATGAAAATATAAGTATTGCTTTTTTTATTTTGCTATATTAAATGTAATCTTGAGGTGAAATTTTGTCGGAGGATCCTTACGGATTTTGTAGTTAAATATTTTTTTTCCGGCGATACATGGTTTAAGAATATAATGTTTTCAAACTATATGTTCATCACCATTAGTGAATTTTAGTTAAATGTATGCAAAATATTTACTAAACAGCTATAGGATATCGCGGGTTATAAGCGTTTTCCGCGTACAGCCTCCTAATGTGTACTAATAAGTTAGTTTTCCTTAGTTATCACGCAAGCATGATCCATGTCTCTGATGTAAGCGACAGTTTACCATTATTTGTCTTTAAAAATATCAAGGACTATTAATGGTTTATAACAACAAAAGAACATGCATGATATTGAGACTACGGTGTTGCAACGTTCTAGTTAATGACCCGTCATAAACAGTTGGTCGCTGCGTAATAATTGGAAAATTGTTATCAAAATAATAAAGAATATTTGCCACCTAATTAAAGCATATACCTATATATTTTTATTTATGCTTTTTGTTTAAAAAATATTGATAAAGTTATCATATATAGAAGGGTTTTCATACCAGAACTATTTATTACCAACGTACGTATGCCTAAACCTGATTACCGCGGCAGTATGACGTCACGGAGTAGTGATTTTGAAAAAATTACAAATAAAAATCAAGAATTTTTCAGAGAATTATTATCTTTACAAATTGCAGATATGAAATAAAAGAATGAAAATATTTTCATATTGTAAATGTCTATGATGTGTAATGAGTCAGCTTAGAAAAACTTAAGGTACTATTTTTTGACCTGATTACCGCGGCGGTAAGATTTGACGGATGGTATTAACATTGGGGAGTCATAGCCTCCCCCAAAAACAACTATAGGACCGGCATAATTATAGTAAACTTCAAGAATACATCAACTTCATCTTTACGTTACTGTTCATTTACCTGGTCTGTTAAAACATGCAAAAAAAATATTATCTGTAAAATAAATCATTTTCTAAAAGCTTATGCATTTGTTTATGGCTGCAGGTAAAATATCTATGGTTCCCATTTAAATAAATGTTAAATAATTTTTTAAACAAAACTATTATAATTATTTTTGTTACAAAACTATTCATATGACGAAAAACTGGCTCAGTGGGCTGCCGTGTTTTAGTGAAAGTCATTATAATATTTTTTGTTACTAAACCATTCATATGACAATAAACTGGCTCGGTGTTCTGTCGTGTTTTTCTAAGTGAAAGGTATGGAAAGTTACCAATATTTTAACACGCAGCAATAGATAAAAGAATTACCTTTCAAATGGTATATAATATTAAAGGATCAAATGTACATCCATTAAGTTTTATTTGCTGCAAAATGCCTAATTTTTCACTTTTTGATGGCATGAGTGATATTTCAATGGAGTATATAGGTGCTGCTTATCTTTGTTATTTATGTCTCTGGTTTATAATATATTATGCTTTCTTGTTAGCAATAAAAAAGCAATATAGATACTGCAAATCAAAATCAACCAAATCAAACTTAAGAACTTTGACTGATCTTAAAGCATGCAACTTTAAGGATTGTAATCTTTACTGATCTATGTGTACTTTAGGGAATATTAAACTTGTTACGTATGCACTATCACTAGTAAACGAAGTTTTTCAATTTGCGTGGCCTCATCGATCTGCTCTTCTTGATCTCCTACGCAGTGATCTCCCCTTACAGTGTGCGCGGAGTAAAACACTTGAGCGCAGTGAACATAAGGATAATTTCGAAAACATAACAAGTAAGTTTTCTTAAAAATTTATTGATACACTTTGTTTTAAAAGATAATAAATTTTCAAAAGGCAAATGTTAAACGCAACTAACCCTAGGGAAATATGCAGGTGTCAGATCTCTGTTATGTAATTTTGAAGAGTGTTTACTGCACTAGCTATATTACATTACAATTTATACATGCTGCTGTGTACTTGCATATAATACATAACGGATTGATAAAGGATGTGTATAGTAGTCATCTTATACATGTAATTGTTATACATTTTAGTTATCTGTTAATTAAACAGTTTAACAGTATCAAACAGATTGATAAAGGGAAAATGCAACCTTATACAGGCCCTGATATTATTTAAAGATTGAAAATATATACTTAATATATATATTTTTTTAGTATTACAAAATGTAGATTCTCTTATCTTATAATTGTTTTCTTTTCAGTGTCGAACTATCAACTGATTTATTTTCCTCTTAGAGGTATGTTTATATCTATGTATTTTAGAACATTGAGCGGGTAGTCTATTCATGTCGCGTGCGAACCCCGGGCTCTTCGATCAGTAGATCTTGTACATTAATCAGTTTTAAACACGACCCTTTTCCACTGGACAGGGCGGGGGAAAAACAGGGCAAAGAAGACGGGCCTTTATCTTTCGCTCGTACCCGCACTTCCAGATCAAGGTTTGTTTTTGGTGCCAAAGTGGCCGGAAACATGTCTAGATTGCAGTGCATGAATTTTACACGACCGCCGGGGCTCTAACCGGGGTGCTACGGCCCAATGCTGCATGGGCATCTTCCTTACAACTGACTTCTGCGTATTTTACAGTCTCATTATTCATTATATCATTTTCACATTAAATAAGATAAATTAATTTCTTATGTTGACTTGTTTTCCAACCTCTTATGAATTTATAGAGTACGTCTAGCATAGGCTTGATACGGGCTTTGGTGACACAATGCTATTCAGCTATCTCGATCTTAAGGCCTACTCTGATAAGGCAACCATATATGATTTAAGTTGTTCTATCCAATAAGCAATCAGTGTATATATAAGTTCTGACATTATAAATGATTGCACCGAGGGTTCTTATTTTAAATGACATAAACCGCAACGAGGGTTCTGAAATTATTATTGTTATTGATTTAGTGTAAAATATTTCGTTCATGTTACAGATTTTTTCCAATTGTTTTGTTAAAAAGGGCATCAGCCGCCCGAAATTATACCGATATCTCTTTGAATCCTAATAAGCATTAAATGCACAGAGGACTGTTAATTTCACATAAAATGCACCAAGGTTTCTGAAAACTTATTACATGAAATGCACCTAGTGTTCTAAATACGTACATGTTTTCCTTCGGGACATTCACAACAATTTTAACTCATTACAAGCTTATTTTCCTTTACAAAATTCACAAGGGAAGGTAGTGGAGCGAATGTTGAGATTTGATTTCAATGAGATTGCACATATTATAGTGTCCTTCTGCTTTAAAATAAATACCACAGATACAAAAGAAGTGTAGAAATCGCAGTATCGTTTATCATTGAATGAAGGGTACAAGGAGCTTATATAATAATACATTAATGTGCAGACCAAGCGATGCATATAACTCCTTTTATGAATACGACAATTTCATGGTGTCGTATTACACGTTGAATGTTAAATGGATTTGTAATCATAGTCATTTGAAAGCATGTATGATGATACGTGTCTCTGTATAGTAAAATATAATAATATATCGAAAAAGGCATTATTTACGTATATTTACAGTTATTGTCATATTGTTTTTTTAGGGGTTACTGAAAATGAATCACATGCATTCTCCTCATAGTAAACATCCCAACCCCGTCCCCTACCCCCAGAAATTTGATCATTTCATTTGAAGATGCTATTCCGCTTGCATATTTGTATAAAAGATCTTTCTGTAACAGTAAAACTGTATGAAAAGTAGGAAATGCCGGTGTTTTTAAAAGCCAATGATAAAAATAAACTTATTTAACACCTTCGTTTCAATTTCCTCCGTCCTATTCTTCCATACTTTATAGCGATTAACACTACATAATGTTCTCTCCGCAAAAATAGCTCTGAAATGCATTATAGTTTGAAATTTCTGTATAGGAAACTTTCATAATCGTAATGTTCACTGGACAAATTTCAAAATGAAGTAACGAACGTGCAATTTTAAGCTTCAACAATGGGATTCATGTGAGGGATCTAGGACTTTTGGTGTCTTCTTGTTTGTGCTTTTAAAGTGGCAATTTGTATTTATGCTCTTTATGGAATAATTATGTTCGTACTTTTTGTAATTATATAGAAATTTGATATTTAGTATTACAATTCCCTTCATTTTGGCATCGTCGAAACCCAAAATTCCGCTTACTACATTTATTACGGATGCAAACGTATAACGGCTACTCGTGGGCACGGGTGTCCTGGGTTATCCAGGATTTGGAAGTATCTAATTTACTTTTTACGTTCCAGGACGTGGCCAAGCGACAAGATATTTATTTGTTGATAATGGAATCGACTATAAAGAAGAAAACTGTGCACAGGACTGGATCAAAACATATAAACCAAAAATGGTATGTATAAAATATGATGTTTCTCTATAGTAAATCATATATACTAACTGAATTATGACGGAAGACCTCTTTCTACCAGGGTCCAACTATAGTACCGAAACAAAGCCAAATAAGGTTATTTTTTCCTCATTTACCAGAAAATGGTTTATTAATTGATTAATTTGTTAATTAACATAAACAAATGAAAAATTCCCCCAAGTTAAAGCTGTGTTCATTTCCTCATTGATGTATTAATTGGTGGATTATTTTTTTCGTTCGTGAATAATTTTCTTTTAAAATCTTAGTACTATAGTCTTTTTTCCCAATTTTGCAAATTTAGCTGCAAACTGCTGCAAAATTGTTGCATGGACGCACCACTTTCTGATGTGTTAAAATTTTTTCCAGCCATTTGGTCAATCGCCTTTATTGAAAGATGGCGACTTTGAAGTGGCCCAGTCAAACACCATTATGCGTCATCTGGGCAGAAAACATGGTAAGATATTGTTACTATATATCTAGCATAGTTAAGCCTCAACTTCAAGATAAGCGGAAATATTTCCAGAAAATAAACTTGAGAAAAAAGTACTACAATTTTAAGAAAAGTAAAAATATTCAAGATTAATTTATAACTAACATGTTATGTGCGATTAAAGGCTAGTTTTACCAAATTGGTATTTCTACTGCGTGCATAACTAAAGCAGTAAGATATATTTTTGCATATTTTGACAACATTTTATCAATTTATGTGGAGTTTGTCGTTTGAAATGTGCAAATTACTTTCTTTATTCACTTCACAATATTTTTCTTCAAAATTTTCATGAAATTAGCCTGAGCCATTCTGCTTTACACATTTGTTCTCGTGCGACCTGCTATCTGACATCAAGTCGCTTGCCTTCACTTGGCTGTGGGTTTAAAATTATTCCATGGTACAAAGCTATCATTCTAGACAAGGCGGTAGGTGGATCTACTCAGGAGCCCGCTGACCTCGGCTTTCAGGTGGTCTCTTAAATTGTCGTTTGGAAAAGTTCATGTGTTTACTTTCTTTCCATACAGGATTGTATCCGAGCGATTTACAAGAGGCAGCCAAAGCTGATATGATCACGGATCACGTGGAGGACATCAGAGGCCCGTATGTTAGAATGATCTACCAGAATTATGTACGTTACATTTTTACTTTAAACTGAAAAAAAATTGCTCAGTCACAATAAAATAGTTTGTGGGCGTGTATTGTGGCTGCTTGATGGTGATCCTGTGCATGTATTTTTGAATGCCGCCCTTCCTTGTTGGTCCTGTTTTTCACATTTTTATGCCCCAACAAAATAGGAGCATATAGCGTTGCACTTGTCCGTCCGTCCGTACGTCTGCCCGTCTGTCCCGAAATCTTCCAGGGATGAACAGTAGATGGTAGTAAAGGAAGGAATTTTTGCTGCGACCAAATTTTACAGAATTATGACCCTTTGTGGATTTTTTTACTGTATACTATGTAGAAATATTGTGAACGAAACTCCTCTTAAACCGGATGCGCATTTTGCTTAAACTTCCAGGGATGAACAACCTTAATGTGTAGATAGTAGTAAAGGAAGGAATTTTTGCTCCGACCAAATTTAAGAGAATTATGGCCCTTTGTTGATTTCTTTCACTATATACCATATAGAAATTTTGTGAACGCAACTCCTCTTTAACCGGATGGCAGATTTTGCTTAAAGTTCCAGGGATGAACAACCTTAATGTGTAGATGGAAGTAAAGGAGGGAATTTTCTGCGACCAGAATGTGACTTCCATTGTATTAAGTTATGCGCATTTTTTCTTTTTGTTGAGCGCACATGCATTGTTTTACTTGGTGACTATTCATGGATTGGCATGAACGTGTCACATTGCAGGTTCCATAAAACACGCCGAATGAGCACATCTGCTGATGTTTCTAAATTCAAATGAACCATTTCATGTTAAATGTTAAATATTTGCTTTAGTCGGTGCTAGGTTGTGTGAACCGAATCTTTCAGTTACAACTTTCGCCATGAACAGACTCAATCAAACCGAGTCTGCATCATTTTCAACTTTGCCGTTTTGGGTGTTCTTTTGGTGATTCCGTTTTTCTCAATTCTTATTTAACCAAATCATGTATCGCTATAATTTACCTGCCTTAATTTTCTTTTAATCTATAAGACATACATATGTATTATGTTCTGCGTTTCATAGTTTCCTTCAAGGGACCATTAAGTAACGTATTTTAACCTAAGATGTGATTGATTTTTACGAAGGACGGATTAAAGGGGTAAAGTTTGAGAACATAAAATAAGGACAGCTACACTATCTTTTATAGAGGATATTTGTTTGTTTTGCATGTAAGATTGAAATATAATTTCACTGAGTGAACACCAGATGCAATATTTTCACGAGTGGCGTAGCCACGAGTGAAAATATAATAGCTGGTGTTCACGAATGAAATATATTTCAATCTTATATGTAAAACAAATAAATTTTCTTTTTATTTCATGCCTTTAAAGTAATTTTAAGTATTTTTTACTGATTTTGCCGCGTAACGTCGCGCATTCTCCTTTGTGACGTCATCACATCATGACGTCACATCATCAATTTTGAAATATAGTTCTGTTAAATTCTCTAATTTTGTTACATTTTTTACATGATGTATGGTGACATCGACTTTCTTTTCCTATAGAAGCAAAATTTACGTATGATGACAATTATTTCTGCCTGTTATTCCATTTAGTTTAATTTTCTTTTCATCCGCATTCAGATATAGTCCGGCTACAGTGAAAATTATATTTTATAAATTTCACTAGTGGTTTACCAGAATATAATCATCTGATATATTACAATAAAACACTGGAAAGCATGAAATAAAAAGCTTATCTTTGTTTGTTTAATTTATTGAGGCCTTACAAACCAAACTTATGTTTAAATGGTACATTGTATCCCTGCTTTATTTGAATCATTGACTTTGGTCCGGTACTTCTGTTATTTTTCTGCTCACATATGCAACAATTGTGCAGACTAGATTTTGGTCAAGAACTAAGTCTGCTCATCTATGTTACACAACTTCAGTTTCCTTTCAAAATACACTAAAATGTCAGTTTATAGTTATTTGTTAATTAAATCATCTGTGGGGACTGTCAGATAGTATAAAACTTCCTTTAAATGTCCTCTCACTGCAAAATGAAGATGTCCACTGCTTTATATAATTACTTTAACAGCTGATTTGATCCATATCACATCCAATCTGATACAAATAGTCTTTTGAAATAGTAAATACTTCAAAGAGCTTGTAGTAATTTAAGAAATGTCAAAGGGGCAAACTTAGAAAACCACAATAGCTCGGCTTTGAGGGTACAGGCAGCAATTTACTCCTCGCCATTCCCCGCTACTAGAGATGCAGTCAGTATGTCTATGCAATTTTAGAGGATGACCATGATCTTCTGGCCTCATGTAAAACCTTATTACGTGTAAGTGTATGTAAAATGAATATTTCTCTGTATATATTCATGATAAGTTTCGGATATAATCTTGACTCAAAAATATTTCCTCTTCTTCCTTCAGGAAAATGGAAAAGATGACTTTGTGAAAACTCTTCCCGAAAAACTTGGGTATATCGAGGTATGTGTTTTAGCCACCGTGCATCAGCGAACATAAATTGCTTTCTTTACAAATTAATTTTTTTTACCAAGAATTTCGCTGTACTTTTCATCATGATTGATTTTTACTAAAATATATAATGATCTTTATTATATCAATTTATTTACTTGAATAAATATTCAGACCTATTTTAACTTTTTAGAACCTGTTCAAAAAGTGGGGGACTGAATACATTACAACGAAGGTATGTTTTGATTTCACAACATTTTGCTATTTTCATTTCTTTGACGTTTGGTAAGGACAATTTCAAAAATGGGATTTATCCGTCGGAGAAATGAACATATTTTAGAGTGATCATCGTTGTAAGGCAGTGTTACTGTAACCAACAAAAAGAAGTCGGCTTCGACTGGCGAATTATTTGCAAAATGGTTTATTCTATCGATTTCTTAACATTGTTGTATCTCCATTTTTCATTTGATTTGTTGGTGTCCGTCAGTGGGCTTCTTCCGCCGTCATGGTGATATTTGCAGGCGGTCCTGTAACTTTAAGATCTGGTCTGTTTCGAATAAAAAACGAGCTGTTTCGATCGCTGTATCATCCTCGTTGTCGTTGTCGTTATGCAAACACAGTTATGCAACTCTTTACTCAAACAACTGCCATGCAAGCCATTTCCTGCTGAACTAACCGGTGAATGCAAAACGCCAATTAATTAAAATGATAAATTTTATATAGAATACATGATATTTCAGTGTAAAACATAAGTAACAATATCACAAAATTATATTGATTATAACCATAAACATGATAAAGAATTGCGCATGATGAACATTCGACTTTTTTGAGAAAAGCCATTCTGCCAGGCCAGTTGCGAAATACAGAATATGTAAAGTTGTGAATAAAGGCATATAGAAAATTGCATTTGTTATTTTTGGAACACTCGGATTTATTCATAGATTCTTCTATAAGCAGCAATGATCATTCAACAATTAATACTTGTCATCCAGCAAATGTTATATTCCGTGCTTGTTTTTAGCTCACCTGAGCATATGCTCAGGGTGAGCTATTAGGATCACTCTTCGTCCGTCGTACGTTGTCTGTCGTCCGTTGTCCGTTCACACTTTTAAAACGACATCTCCTCTGAAACCATAAGGCAGATCATAATGAAACATCACAGGGATGTTCCTTGTGTGAAGCCTTAACAAAGTTGTTCAAAGACTTCCATTCCATGCAGAACTCCTGTTGCCATGGCAACCAAAAGAAAAAAACTTTAAATATCTTCTTCTAAATAGTTCAAAGAGCCAGAGCTTAGATATTTGGCATGAAACATCTTCTATATAGTGAGTATCTACCAAGTTTGTTCAAATAAAAGCCCTGGGGTCAAATGCGGCCCCGACCCAGGGGGTCATTGATTTTCCCTATATGCATATAGTAAAAACTTGAAAAATCTTCTTTTAAAGAACCCAAAGAGCTAGAGCTAAGATATTTAGCATGAAACATCTTCTAATAGTGTCTACCAAGTTTGTTCAAATAAAAGCCCTGGGGTCAAAATTGGCCCCGCCCCGGGGATCATTGATTCCCAATATGCATATAGTAACAACTTAAAAAATCTTCCTTTAAAGAACCCAAAGAGCTAGAGCTAAGACATTAAGCATGAAATATGTTCTAATGGATGTCTATCAAGTTTGTTCAAATAAGAGCTCTAGCCCCGCCTCGGGGGTCATTGATTTTCCTTGCATGTGTATAGCAAAAACTTAAAAAATCTTCTTCAAAAAAAACAAATAGAGTTTAGATACTAAGCATGAAACATCTTCTAGTGAGTGTCTACCAAGTTTGTTCAAATAAAAGCTTTGGGGTCAAAAGGGGTCAAAATTGGCCCTGCCCCAGGGTCATTCATTTTCCCTATATGTGTATAACAAAAACTTAAAAAAACTTCTTTGGAAAAACTCAAATAGCTAGAATGAAACTAGATGAAACATCTTCTAGTGAGTGTCTACTAAGTTTGTTCAAATAAAAGCCCTGGGGTCAAAATTGGCCCCACCCCGGGGCTCATTGATTTTCCTTATATGTGTATAGCAAAAACTTTAAAATCCTCTTCGAAAAATCCAAATAGCTAGAGTTCAGATATTAAGCATGAAACATTTTCTAGTAAGTGTCTACAAAGATAATTCAAATTAAAAGCCCTTGGGTCCAAACTCGCCCTGCCCAAGGTGTGTCATTGTTTTTAACTATATGTGTGAAAAAACTTGACCAGGTAGGCCTTAGATGTTAAGCATGAAATTTCTTCTAATGGGTGTCTACCAAGTTTGTTCTAATAAAATTCCTGGGGTTTAAACTGGCCCCGCTATGGGGGCCTATAATATTCAGGTGAGCGGCTTCAGGGCCATCATGGCCCTCTTGTTTCTTATCCTCTGCATTTTTTCAGATATCATTTGCTGATTATATTCTTTTTGATTTGCTCGACACTCTTCAAATATTGACGCCTACCTGTATAGACGCATTACCGACCCTCAAAGCTTTCTATGATCGCATGGCTTCACGACCAAACTTAAAGAAATACCGGGAAACAGAGGAATTTAAGAAAATGCCCGTCAATGGAAACGGGAAACAGTAAATATTCAGGAAGTGACGTCATCCAAGATGGCAATTATATTTGAACAATAAAAGTTTTGCTGAAATAGCATTATTAACAAACAAAATAGCACAGTTATTTATTAATGTGCATTCTTTCATTAACGAATGTCCGTTTGCTGTTACATGTAATAAAATTCCAATTATCTACAGACGACACACTGCTTCCGGTTTTGAACATATTCTTTAGATCATTCATTAAATAATCATTTTTCGTAAGTAGATACTTTTATATGTACTAATTTTTTGTCAAAATCATGTGATGTTCAAAGTATACAAAGAAGGAGTTTTTGTTTGTTGTTGACATAAGTTCAGTTACGTTTACCAAATTAATTAGTTTACTGATAAATGAGTGAAGAAACATAAACAAATACAAAGTGTGTAATCATTTGTATGTAGAGTCTATATATCTAATAAAAACAATGATAAGTAAAAATCACGGATTTATATTACAATAAATAATTGTAATATAAATCCGTGGTAAAAATGAATGAACTTTAAAAAAACCCAAAAAAACAAGAACAACGATAACGGAAGAAAGTCAGTTTCAGTCGATTTTTAGTTGACAATAGTGTAACGCAAGAAAAAGTTATGCAATAAGAAATTGCCACCTACTATTTCAAGTTAAATATGGAATGGTGGTACCTCATAATACGGTGGATGTACATGTATTTACCATAAGTGAGTGGAAAAGTTTTCTTTTACGTCAACTTTATTCACTTGCAAATTCACTGCAATTTTACATGCCTTATTGTAACGGTCATAACACACGTTAAAGTTATGGTAGCATAGTCCCTAAATATATTAACTTTGTAAAAATTTGTTAAGACTGTTTCGAGGCCATTTTGTTGGACAATTCCTAAATGAGATCTGCTGATTTAGCAATTGTACAAAACATAACAAAATTGTTACTCAGTCTTCTGCATATACAGTACATCAATATTAACGAGTTATAACCAGCCAAAACAAATACATGTAGTACTTTAACTTCTAAAGTGTCACTTAAAATAATCGGATATTCGTTATGGCCTTTCAATGCAAATTATGCCTCAGAAACGAACACATTTATACTTCTTCAGAAAAGACAAACTTGGGTTAAACAACAATTGGATCATGTTAGATGCTTATTACCTAAACAAAGTAGCGGTAAATGTGAACTCATTTGTCATAAAAGTATATCCCTGAAAAAAGGTAGTAGCAGTTTGAGGCTTAATTAATGAACCTTTAAGTTAGCCTTATTTAAAGATACATGTATTGATACTTTAGTCAAACTTTATTCTTCACCTCGGAGTAACAATCCTAAACATTTGCTTTCACGGTTGCGACGATAGGAACACATGTATTTCATTTATTTAGTTTGAAAGAATTAATGTAACATCGCTCAAGCCTTTTTAACCAGATTAGTCCGGACAGCCACATGTACTTTTCCCGCTTATTCCCGTTTGTCGTCTGATACGATGACAAAAAGAAAGAAAGAAAGAAAAAGAAAAAAGAAAGAAAAAAGAAAGATAGAAAACTGGCATAGGCATAAACACGAGTTGGGACAAATTTCTTTACATGACACTTTATTATACAGGAAGTGGAGTGGAAAGTTTGTTTTTTCCCAGATAAGTTTGAAGCTCTTATCACCATAGCTCTAAAATCAAGTGTCTTAAAACTTCCTTTTATATCTGCTCTTAAAAACTGGCTTTGGGCGGACAAATTTCTTTCTCTTTTTTGACACTATTTTACAGGAAGTGGACTGGAGAGTTTTTCAGATTAAGTATGAAGCTCTTATCACAATACATGCATGTAGCCCTAAAAACAAGTGTCTTAAAACTTCCTTTTATATCTGCCCTTATAGAGTCGAACAAAAAATTGAATCAACTTGAAATACTTTCACTATTTTTTTTGTTATTTTGTTTAGTTTAGTTTATACAAATTTATTTTAGTTCGATTATGCTGGAAGCTGTTAGCTTAATGAAACTCTCGAATCCGTTCCTGGATCCAAACAGTTCTAAGCAATGAATATTTTGATTAAATCATAAGAAGCGATTACAGGGTACTTATCGATCCTTTGTATGCTAAGGAGCAGCAGTGATAACATTTTGTCAACTATACATCAGTGCTCCTTCGACATCTTACCTTTATATAAAGAGTATGTGAAACCAAGATATTCTTTATGTCGGAATCGATGACGTAGATCGTAGATTCCATTCCTAATCGGGTCACAATGTGACACCATGTACTATAGTTTATAGTAGTTCAAGGAAGCGGACAGGAAAAAAAGAATTGATATGGCGCACTATTGCATTGAAAGGTTAATGTTTAAGTGCATTGAAAGGTTAATGTTTAAGATATTTGATGCGTTCACAGTCCGAGTCTTAAACATTCTCAACCAGGAATGTTAATCTGTATTGACTCTGTACAAAAAGATCACATGGCGATGGTGAGGTGAAATCTTAGGTTGTCCCTCCGTGAATTGTTTTGTAGATTAAGCAGCCACTCTAATAGAACAAATGATCTGTTTGAAATAATTTGAAGTTCGAGTGACAACGCAACCACTGGCCTTGGATAAAATTCTCATTTGTATTCTAATCTACAGCGATGTGGGACCTTAAACATTTGACTATCCTACTTAATTACTATGGTGTTGGTGTTATATTTGTTTTGGTTTTGTTTGAAATTATATGTTCTATCCCCATAACCAATGAATACATTCATTTAGAAATTCAGGGTATTTTTGTAGGTCACTGACCAAGTATTTTCATCATTCTTCAACAAGGAGCCATGAACGTCCATGCTTTGCAAGCACATTGCGCTAACATAAGAGAGACAACTCAAAGTAACCGTTCCTTGAGTTAACTTTCCTTACTACTTACTGTGTACAAGAGAGCTCCACAGCAAAAGCTATCACAACCCACCCAGTCAAAAAAGAAGATATTTTAACAAACTAATGATTCCGGCACGGTAGTGACCTCTTAAGCCTTTGCTAGGGTGCGTAAGAGATGTGCACTTTCATATCATCTCTCATGAATCGAGTCTAATAGTGTTGTTTCCATTGTCACAGTACCAGATTTTTATACGCCCGTTTGAAAAACGGGACGTATAAAGGGGACGCCCCTGGCGGGCGGGCGGTCGGGCGGGCGGGCGGTTTGGCGTCCAATTTTGTCCGGAGCATATCTCCTACATGTATGGAGGGATTTTAATGAAACTTCATAGAAATGTTCACCACTATGAGGAGCAGTGTCGCGCACATAAACCAGGTCTCTAGGTCAAAGGTCAAGGTCACACTTAGAGCTAATTGAAAAATGCTTGTCCGGAGCAAAACTTCCACATGTATAGAGGGATTTTAATATTACTTGGCACAAATGTTCACCATTGTGAGGCGGAGTGTCGCGTGCAAGATTCAGGTCCTTGCGGCCAAGGTCAAGGTCACACATAGAGGTCAAAGTTCAGATAAAAATATGAAGATGTGTATATGGACCATTTAGTCATCATTTATTGAGGGATTGTAACACAAATGGTCATTATCAAGACTATGGCTGTGATACATATAATTTAGGTCAATATATACAAGGTCAAGGTCACTAAAGATGATGAAATATCCAGATTTTGTAAATAGAATTTAATCAAAGGGCGACAACAAAGTTATTACTTTGTTCATAAATGACTTACACAATTACTCCCCTTGATCTACTTTCACTTTCAATTCTAAAAATAGAATTTAATCAAAGCATACAATAATCCTCTTTCGTTGACTTGAGTATGTTCTAAAGAATGTAACATTTATTTACACATGTTTCATTCATTGGTCAAGATTCTTAACTGTGATAACTATGGTGTTCTGTAGACTTGGTATTTGTTCATAAAGATCATACAGTAATTACCTTATCAAATGTAAATACTTTCTCATAGAAATTTAATTATATTTTAATTTTCAAGTAAATATCAGTTCAGCTCATTCAAAGATTAAGAATTGTAATGAAATGTATTTCCCTAGAATAAAATCTTAAATCAGAATTTTTAGTTATTAAATTACAATTACATGTACTTTTTATACGCCCGTTTGAAAATGCATAGAGGGATTTCAATATAACTTGGCACAAATGTTCATCATTGTGAGGCTGAGTGCCGTGCATAAAATTCAGGTCCCTGCGACCAAGGTCAAGGTCACACATCCTGTGCATATCTTCCTTCCTGATTTGTTTTAAGGTTCATTTAATAACACAGTGCCAAGGATAAAAACTTGCTTGCTAGATAACACTTATCCATAATGCCCCCTTCTCCATCTAAAGCTTTCGTAAACGGGCGTATTTTGTGACTACTATGGCACCCTTGTTTTCTTTAGTTTTGATACTGTGTATTAAATAGTTTTTTGTAAAACATATGTTTGGAATACAGTCCTAAGCTTCCTCGGGTGAAAGAATTTTATATAGAAGAGGAAAGTGCTTCGATCGTCAAGTGACTTAACAGGCATATATCTTTGTTTTGATTCGTCCAACCACGTTCCCCTCATTGCTGTGGTTCTAACCCTAGTTGTCTTTGGATTTTTTCATATGGGGAAGCTAGCTAGCGGTTTCATTAAGGTGCTTGAAACAGGCAACTGAGGTCTTCTTCAATTAGTGAATCTTAAAATATTAACAATGTCGGAGTAAGAATGCTTTACTTAAAACCCTAACCCTATTAATAATATTCAATGGAAAGCAATAACGTGCATAAAGAATCATTCAGTTGTTAGCATGTTTACTAATTAGAACAAGTATCTCTATATTATTTCCAATGGAAATCAAGTTTTCAGTAATCAAGCTTGGATCACCGTGCAAAGTTTCTAAAAAAAACCTGTTTAAGTTTGTTATTTTGAAAAAAGTAAGTTTGTTATCTTGCTTTTACATTTAGCAATTCGCCTGAATTAATAGGGTTAATCCCTAAATCTTCAAAAGTAATCACTTTTATTTTATTCGAGACGGCTGAGCTGTCTTTGGCCCGCACATGCGTAGAAAGATATACAGAAGGAATTGCAGACGAACATTTGGTCAAGTCGATACTGTGGAAATGTGACGTAAACATTCAGTAAGTATCGGCTTACATAGACTACAGAATTATTCTCATTCATTAGTGAGAAACGGTAATTTGTCTCAATAAAGAAAATAAAATCAAAATAAAACAAGCATTGGTTTCTTTCTTTTATTTCATTTTTTTCCTTCCTGTTTTTTTTTTTTTTTTTTTTTTTCGTTTTTTTTTCTTTTGTTGCATATTATCATAAACATTTTGATAAATAATATTCAAAAATACAAAATGTACATACATAGTCGAAACAAAATAAAAATGCCATTTTTTTAACACAACTGTACAAATAAAAAAGCAACATAAATTCTCATTCAATCAAATGTGAGAATCAACATTTTGCATTATTTTACATTGTTTATTTTTTATTAATACAATTTATCTATACTCATTAAATTGTTTTATACAATTTATCTATACTCACTTTTATTTCAATATTAATTTCTTTGGCATAAAAATAACAAAATATCTAAAACTGATGCGTTTATGTATATCTAACACTAAAAGTATTAATAATAGTCGCTCACTATTGTTTTATTTTGTCTGAGTATTCTTTGTTTAATACAAAATAGTTAGTTTCTGATAAGAGACAATAATATCTAGAAGCGTTTAGCTACTTTGAAATCAAACATTCAAATGCATTCAGGTCGCACCGCTAGAAGGCGCTTCTTATCGCGACCCACAAATTTATGTTGCAGACAAAATAGTTGTCCTTGACAGCTTATCAGTTAGTCCTTGTACCTATGAGCAGACATATGAGATAAACATAAATACAGGTGCTTATCAAAGTACAATTTCCAACGTGTAAACATTATCCAGTTTTATCTGGTTCAAGGCGAGCGTCAAAGTTCAATGTCAAGATTATTTTATCTTGCCATATCTGGTACATGGTGTGATTATTCACGTGTTGAATAATAATGCAATCTGTTTCAAAACCGAATACATAAAACATGCACTATATTGATGGCATTATTCGTAACTGGTTGTTATTTTAGTTTTTGGACAGTTTTATCCTGCGCATTACCAATGTTCGGTTTTCTGTTAAACGACCTATTCATTTAACGAATTACCAGTTACAGTAGCAAGACTGGACCAGCCGCTTTTAAAACACAAGAATTGGACCTTTGTGTTCATTTTTCCATTGTGTTAAAAACATACTTATGATTATTTCCACAATTCCCTTAGGGTTTAATGGATGAAACTAAGCAAATTTAAGCTTAAGTTCTTGTCCAATCATTGGAGAATGAAGTTTTAATCCATGAGAATTTCAAGTGATATTCTCACCCATGCGAGAATGTCCGCGTTCGTTGTTGTTGTTCTCGTTTGAATTTCAACACTGGACTGCTGTTGTTGTTTTGGTCAGACAGGTCTTTAACAAACATCTCGGTTTTCTCAACTCTGAACATAGCTGACTTCACTGAAAATAAAGCAGAAAGGTTTTCATTATTTGATATTTTTTTGTATATAAATTTGTCAAAATGGTTGAAAGGAGATTTTATTAAAATTCAGATAGATCTATTTAAAAATCGATCTTAAGTGTAAATAGCAGTTTTATTTTCTTGGATCAAGTCTTTTAAAAAAACTTATTAAAATACTAAAATATAACTACATGTTGGAAAACATATCTTTATAAAATGATATTTGTTTCTCGTAACATATTAAGTGTCATTTACACTATTTTGTTGATGAAAATTCAACATTACTGGATCAAAACATAAAATAGAAAAGTTTTAAAAGATCAAGACAAAGAAACAATGCTAAAAAGTTGACCTCTATAAAAATTTATGAATTGCACTTACAATATTTTCTAAAAATTAAATTTCTCTCACCTGGTGATAATATTTTAGATGCTGCGTAGCTCAACAAACGGGCTACTATAAAAAGGATAACAGCATAAAACCCACATATCAGTAGTAAAATCAGACCCTTGGACTCGAACCCATTATTTTTCTGCATGTCGGTTCCTCGTGACGTCATTCTTATGCTGCTTGTTGGGTTGCTGTAACACCGCACTTTCAATGTTTCAAAATCTGGGGACATTGGTAGTTTACCCTCTACAACTGTAAATAAAAAATATGTTTCTGTAAAATTCATATTTAATTAAACTGATAAATGTTACGAAATATGAAAGGAAGAGCAACGTTTAAACAACCCCACTATCCAAACTTGGTACCAGAAGAGTACTAACTCACACGTGCAGAGTTGCATCGTATAAATCGGAAATCAATCAAAATAAACAAACAAACAAAATAGTCCGATGAGACGTCCTGATCGAGACCCTAATTTCTAATGGTTTAGGTTCTTTCTAACAAACCATTTTGAAATCAACTCACACCAATTTTTCTAACCAATTAAACAGTTAATTAAACCCTCTGTAACTTTAATGCAAGAACAACAACACGTACTGCTTAATCTGTTAATTAACCGGTGCATATTACATTTATATTAATACGAAAGTGTAATATATAACAAATCAGTGCATTTTCACGAAAAGGGACATTTCGATCAATATATAAAATATACTTTCATTTAGAAAATGTACATATATGTTAATAATACGATTATATATGGAGTGGATAATCAACGAAACTATTTCATCATCCGAAACGTTATACATAGTAACCCCATACATCGTTACAGTAAAAATTATTTGTACATGTACTTCTACATGTGTACTTACTGAAAATTAGTAAGCAATAAAAGTAAACGTAAAATAATATGATATTTGAAAGGTATTAAATGATATTTTAATTACAAAAAGGTATAAAAATAGTCCTTTTATAGAAAACAAAACTTATTTTACGAGCACTTTATCATCGTTTATGCATAATATGAAAAATATTGATAATTTATTCAATTAACATACCTAAAATTTAATGCTTCCAATATTATCAATTCCACAATTTAGTATTAAATTGTCTATCATATCGCACTTTTGTTGTGCTTTCCAAACAGCGGACTGATCAGTAATGAAAGCCCATGAAGCAAATCGTGAATATACATGATGTGTTTACATGATTTCATCATGCAGGTTATGTAGGTCAAACTATAACTACCTATGTAGGAAAATCCCACGATTATAAATAGATCATGCGCGTGCCGCATGATATCCGTTATAATTTTCCGTTGACATTGACACAGTTAATCTATAAATAGCCTATATTTGTACCGCTGAACTGATTATGCTGTAATAATAATCTTCAGTGTTATGCAGTAATCTTCATTACGAAAGTAAATAATAGGACAATAATAATAATCTACAATACTTAAATAAAGTCTACTGTATGCCTATAAATAATTTTAAAAAAAGCCCTTGTTATAAAAATATAATTTATTTATATAGACTAAATGTATAGGCACCGGTGTAGGTAAGTCCGTGATAGCACAGACACTGTCTTGGGGGTCATCACGATCTTTGTAATGAGACCCAGTCCCCGGCTTCATCCGTTTAAAAAACTTTTAACATTTCACACAGATGAGGCATCCATCCAGCTTAATTAATCATATTTTACTTGTTTAACAAAATCCACTTTAATTTCATAAACATGATGGAGAATTGGGCTTTTTGAATGCTCAACTTTTTTATATACATGTAGGATACACCATGAAGACACAATGAAAACTGTATACATTGGATGTACATTCCATGACTGAAAACTGTAGACACAATGAAAACTGTACATGTATGTCAATGAAAACTGTACAAGACATTGGATGCACCATTAATGAGAACTGAACACATTGGATGTACCACGAAAAAAGAATGCACCATCAATGAAAACTGTATACACTGAATCAATTTGAATGAAAATGTATACATTGGGTGATGAAAACTGTAAACATTGGATGCATCATGAAAAAGGACGCAATATGAATAAAAAATGTATACATTGGATGCAATATGAATGAAAAGGTATACAGTGGATGCACCACAATAAAAACTGTATACATTGGATGCAATATGAATGAAAAGGTACAGTGGATGCACCACAATGAAAACTGTATACATTGGATGCAATATGAATGAAAAGGTATACAGTGGATGCACCACAATGAAAACTGTATACATTGGATGCAATATGAATGAAAAGGTATACAGTGGATGCGCCACAATGAAAACTGTATACATTAGATGCAATATTGAATGGAAAGGTATACAGTGGATGCACCACAATGAAACTGTATACATTAGATGCAATATGAATGGAAAGGTATACAGTGGATGCACCACAATGAAAAACTGTATACATTGGATGCAATATGAATGAAAAGGTATACAGTGGATGCACCACAATGAAAACTGTATACATTGGATGCAATATGAATGAAAAGGTATACAGTGGATGCACCACAATGAAAACTGTATACATTGGATGCAATATGAATGATAAGGTATTCAGTGGATGCACCACAATGAAAACTGTATACATTGGATGCAATATAAATGAAAAGGTATACAGTGGATGCACCACAATGAAAACTTTATACATTGGATGCAATATGAATGAAAAGGTATACAGTGGATGCACCACAATGAAAACTGTATACATTAGATGCAATATAAATGGAAAGGTATACAGTGGATGCACCACAATGAAAACTGTATACATTAGATGCAATATGAATGAAATGGTAGACAGTGGATGTACCACAATGAAAACTGTATACATTAGATGCAATATGAATGAAAAGGTATACAGTGGATGCAACACAATGAAAACTGTATAAATTGGATGCAATATGAATGAAAAGGTATACAGTGGATGTACCTAGATGCAATATGAATGAAAATGTATACAGTGGATATACCACAATGAAAACTGTATACATTAGATGCAATATGAATGAAAAGGTATACACTCACTGTGGATGCATCATGAAAACTGTACATAGACATTGGATGTATCATGAATGAAAACTGTACATAGACATTGGATGCACCATGAATGTAAAATATAGACATTCAGTCATGTACATTATCTAAAATAGATATTTGTAAAAAGGAAATATTTCAATAATTATAACAAAATTATTAAAAAGCAACTTTATGGCTTTCTATAAAGTATGAAAAATAATCAAACCTTTTTCACGATGAATACAATTCCTTGAATTACAAACTTTTGACATTTTACTCCCTTCCTTAATTAGTGTTAGAGTGATGTCCACCAATCGAATGTCTACAAGAAGTGGCAAGGGACGTTGTATGCACTGTACATTTTATTATATCGGAATGTCCATAAACTGGTGTAGAGGTTAATACCAGTGGTTGAGAAATCTGATATGAAGTTCAGAATATGAAATTTATGTTTTTCAGTACTTTTTTATGTATATTGAAATGAACATATTCTTCAGTTAGGGTGCTTGTAACATGGTAAAAAAAATAGAGCTTAATTAGTAATTTATATACATGTCATAATTCTGGTCATAAAAGTTGAAAACCTCTTAAAGTTAGTTCATACAAACCCGCCACTGCATTTCATTATTTCAACCTTGACTCATCAAGTATGAGTTGAAGGTCCAACTTTTATCCCCAGATGAACTTTTCACGCCACCTTTCTATATTTAAATTTGATAAATGTAATGTAAATATTGTCTGTCTGTCATTTAACTTTAGTCAAAATCACACTGGTGCAATTTTTTAACATTCTATTATGTCATGATAGATAACTGTGTTATGAAACCAAAAAAAAAAATCCCCTCTATTATATGTGAGTCACAAGTGATAAAACCAACATAACATACATTTAATTAGTATGTATACTTGTATACTTAGTATAAATATATAGTCATTAAGATTTTAACCAGGTTATATGGTGTACATGTATGTATTTAACCTGCCATGTTTGATTACCAATTTAAAGTATCTTTGATTTTAAAAATAAAAAATAAATCCACTAATTAGCAGTGGCCATGTACTAGTTTATTATATACAAGTACTTATAAATGAAATATCAAGAACTACACATATTGATGAAATAAAATGCGAATTTACATTTTCTCTATTTTCAGAAACATACTTTCCATATTTTCACTGGTGTCTTGTCAGACTACTTTCTTCTAAATAAAGACAATACAAAAAGTTAATGGTGAAGTCTTTCAAATTGTAACATAAAAAATAAAAATGTATATAATAAACAGAAAATTCAATTCATCTTGTAGAATGAAAATTATCAGATATTTACTAGCTCAGCTACTGCCGCTCATGAAATATTTATTTTCATACCACTCAATGAAAATAAATCATGTATTTATAGATTTTTTTTTTTTTCAATATCCTCTATAATTTATATTATTAGTAATAAAGGCTAGTGTCAATTTATACGACTCAGTGTAACAGTTTCAACCATTTATACATGTATAATAGCAAATTTCCATGTTTTAGTCTTTCTTTTTTTTCCCCCAGATTAATCAATTTTTAACCTTTAACATGTTAAATGTCAATTTTTTAATCTGGACAAAACCATCATTTATAAAAAAAAAGAAAAAGATTTTCATGTACTGACTGAATACTGAACAGCGCATGATAAGCTGGTTGACATCCGTCTGAACTGGTAGGCTACCAGTTAACAAGCACGAGAAAATCACATGAACATGTAATGCTAGTTCTTTTATATTCTAAATTTTCAAGGAAATATACATATCAGATGTTATTGCATTGTACATAGTTTATAGGTTTATTAATTTCAAAAACCACAAATTAAGATTTTTAATAACACATCTGTGGCTGCATGTTTTTGTAGAGTAGCTAGTAGATTAAGGTTGTGTTATCCGACAGTTATGTCAAAACCAAGACTTAATACAGACTTAATACCCTAACCTGTTCAATTTCTTAAATGGACTTGTTCACCTTTCATTTTTGGAATTGTCTTTTATCAATTTTCGCGATATTAGATCTAGTATGAAAGTTTCAAAGTTTGAAGTTGGTCAGCAAGCACTCAAGCAGCATAGTGCAATCTTACCAGGCTCTATACTGGTGGCAAAGGCTGATCACTTACAGTTCATTAACAGTTACACTTGAGTAAGATATTCCCATCTGTACCGGCTGGAGAAATGGTTATGATGAATATGTACACTGGGTCACACCACTGATGCATACATGAGTCAAATTTGCATATATACATGTATATACAATGTAACTTAATCTGAAAAACGTTCAGGCACTTTTTTGTTTTATCCAGGGTTGGACTTTCAAGGCCTTTCAAGATTGTAAGTCCATTTTGCAGATAAGTTATCTGACATATCTTGCCCATTAACATTAATGATCATACTGAAAGTACTGTTGGTAGGACAGTGTACTTGACTATTCTCAATGCTGGATAGTAAAACTAGAGTCAGGATAATGTAGAATTTTCTATGTTCAAAAAGGGCCATAATTCTGTAAAAATCCATGTTTGAGTTATGGGCCTTGGTAGTGACTTATTATACTATCAAATACGTGTCTGAAGTTTCAACAAAGTCCCTTCATACAAAATTCCACACAAAAACTTAACCAAAGAGTGTCACCAATGCCAAAGCCAACACCAACACCTGGGAGAGTACAATAGGTCTCCCTAAGGCTAGTTTTTGGACAGTCAAGCTTAATATTAAATAAGTGATTTCATGAGCAACAACAAAAATTGTTGTTCAAGAATTTTATAGTTAATTTTTATTCATAAATTAACTATAAAATTCAATATGTCCATTTTTTACAAACAAGCAAAACTTACTGTTGTTCATTAATTTTATTATGTACAAATAAAAACAAAATTTATAAGTTTAAAAAAACATAATACATGTAATAATAAATGATGAGGGTCTATTGATTCATTTACCTTGTTTCTTATTTCAAAATGGCATATAACAAATTTTGATGATAAAAATAAGGATATAAAAGTTACCGTACTATTGCAAAATAAACACCAATTCAAATACCGGTACAAGGCATTTGATCAACGATTTCTGATAAATATATGTATCAAAGATGACAAGATTTATTTTGTGCAAAAGGAATTTATATATAACCTAACACTTTTTTTTATTGAGATATGCAAATGGACTAGACTATAAATTAGATAACAAAGTAACACAAATGAACATGCATTTTGATTCATAACTAAATAGAGAGTAGCACCTATTACACAATTATTAAGTAATTACCTGCATAAAAAAATAAGTCACAAGGAAAAATACAAAGTCACAAAGAAAATGTCTAAATAAAGGACATACAGTGGTCAAATTAAAACAAGATGTAGTGGGTTTGTGTTAACCTGATTTTATATAGCATAATGGGGAAATACTCTGTTGCCCTTATTTATATCAAAGGGGGGCAATCTGAATATTTTTCAAGTTTAATTCGATTGAATTACATGTTTTTTATGAAAATGTTATGGGTATGTTAAAATAAATTTGCCAGTAGTAAATAATAAACAGTGGATGCAAGTGAAAAATTTGTAACCAATATTGAATTCATTATAAACCGCCAAATTTTCTTTACTAAAAGCGCAATTATAATATTGCCAAAAAGCTTGTCTCTGAACAGCAAGTAATAAAGTTGAATAATTTGAAAATAACTGAAAGCATCTAGTCTTTTTATAAGTTTTCTATGGCAGAAATGAAACAATATATAAGTTTTCTATTGCAGAACTTTAACACAATTTATTTCCCAGGATATGAAATGAATATTACCTGAAGTTACCTAAAAACAGCAACATGGGGTATATTTTTAAACATATTTATTTCAATATTTTACATATATTACATTTTATATGTATATAATTGTTACATAAATTGAAAGGGATTAGAACGAAAGTATATATTTTTCCAAGATGAATTGGTTGGAAACACTTGAGGGGAATTTTGTCGAACGTAGGTGGAAAACAGATTTCTTACAAATCCCCCCCCCCCAAAAAAAAACAACACCAGACAAAATACATGATAACAGACTCACATGATACAATATTAGGTAAATGCTTGACAGAATATGACAACATTATGATATCGTGCAATATGAAATGATGCTAAATCTAACAAAAACACGACACAAGCTGAAGTTGTAATATTGCTACATGATTAATAGAAGAAAGGAAGAAAATTTAAAACTGGTCTAAAACCTAAAATTACATTACATTTGGCACGGGAATACATTCCATACATTTACCTTCACTCTACTTTTCAATGAACACATTTGTACATTATTCATATCAAAGGTCTAAAATTATTTTGCTAACCAGTGATATAGTCCTGGTTCATTTATACTCATTGAACACAATATATCTTACAACAGGATACACAATTACAATATACAGTTGTAACTGATGATGAAATGTATTTATATAATAGAATTCATTGCCGAGACCTCACAGAGGCTACTATTACATGACCCTTAACCTGTTGAAAGTGTGTAATGGAATTGCCCTATTTTGACTATGGAACATTTGATGTTAAATGGATTTGGATATCAAATTACAGAAATAGAGTTACCAATAGTATAGAGTCTTTTCAGACTGCATGAATGTGTAGGCTTGCCTGGCTCTATACTAGTGGCAAACACTAATCAGTTTTGGGTTCAACAGGTCAAGGTTCAGAACTACTTCGATAATATGATTTTAACAAAACATTTTTGGCAGTAAACTTTACTTCTTCTTTAACCAATATGGCACCAAAAACATCATGACTTTATATTGATCTCAGGTGCAAAAATGACATTACTTTAGAATTATCTCAGGTGTAAAAATGACATCACTTTTATATTGATCTCTGGCATCAAAATGACCCTACTTTACATTGATATCTGGCACCAAAATGACATCACTTTATATTGATCTCTGGCACAAAATGACATCCCTTTATATTTGGTTTCTGGCACCAAAATGACATCACTTTATATTGATCTAAGGTGCCTAAATTACATTCCTTTATTATGGTTTCTGGCACCAAAATGACATCACTTTCCACTCATCTCACGCACATAAACAACATCACTTGATATTGATCTCTGTCATCAAAACAACATAACTTTATATTGATCTCTGACACTAACAAGTATCCATTGTTGACATCCTTTTACATGATCTCTGGTGCAAAATGTTATCATTTTATATTGATCTCCATATGAAAAAAAAGGCTATTGCAACTTATATGAACCATTCTCAAATCCATTCCAGGATATATGAAGTACTCGTGTTAAATGATGAAACATGGTCAAGACCAGTGTAAAGCTTGATCCTACAATCCTTGGGAGGTAGACACCTTAACCACAAGGCCATCTCTCCAAGGTCACCCTTATTTTAGGTCTAAATGTGAAATACTTATGGCTAAGGCTCATTTCAATTCTTATTATCTTTTTGCAATGACTTACTTTATTTACAAAATACTAATACTAATACTAATGAAATACCTATATAGGCAACACTAACATCTTATCAAATAATACTAACTACATTTTGTAAGCTTTATCGCCTAAAAGCTTGGTGATATCTGTGAACAGTGAAAACAATCGATCATATTTTTCAATATCATTAAACAAGAGGGGCATGATGGCCCTGTATAGCTCACCACATTGTACAAGAATATTTACATGAATCACAATACATATAAGGGTTACACAATCCCAGGGCACATTGAAGGGCCTTGTTTATCAAATCAATATAATTTTAACAATTTTGGACAGTCTTTGTTGGGAGTCTTATGCACGCTTTTTATGCAAGCTTAAAGCCCCTTATGCCCCAGAAATGCTGTTATTCTTATTTCTCAGAAGGTTTTTATTTTTTATGACCTGTTAAAGTTTTCAAAAAGTTATTCATTGGCCAATTATCAAAACAATGTTTTTCGTTTAAGAAATGTTAATAAATTTTTTTTTTCGGCTCCGCCCCCATCCAAAAGGTTCATCTGGGGGTTACCAGAAGGGGGATGTGCCCCCTTCTGTTTCGGGGGTTTGAACATTTTGGATATGTGACAGGCTAAAAGTGGCCTCAGGTCGATGGTAAGGTAACGTGTAAGACGTTAACTCTATCTCAATCCATTGAGAAGTTGCAACACTTTGAAATCAGTTTTGATGTAAAAAAAACAATGCAAAAAAATAGCGATTTTTGGCAATTTTGAGACATCCCCCCCGTTGCCATGGTAACAGAAAATTTACGATTTAGCATGCTGTTACAGAGGTCATGGTCCAGTCAACATTTGTGCCAAGTTTCATCAGTATTGAAGCATATTTCATAGCAGTTTGAACTTGTAATAATAGGCTTTTCAATAAAAACGGCCATTTTTCACAATATGCTCATGAAGGAAAGGATTAAGCTTCTGTTGCCTTTTGGCAATAAGTACAATTGTAGTTAATGAGTATTTTGTCAAAATAATGGTAATTTTCTGGATATTCTGCACTTAATAAAAAAAATTAGTATTATTGAAGTATATGGAGGGTGGTTGGGGAGTTTTTTCCCAACCAAAGCTGAATGCTAAATTCTCTGTTTCACTGATGAACATAATGTTCACTGGTGAACATAACATCACCTTAGTGCAATAACTGGTTAACTCCTATTAAATTTAAAAGGACTTAATCCATTACTGCTATAAGGTGATGATAATAATGTTTCATTTCTGTACAATAATGTTCTGCCCTGTAGTTACTCAAATATGTCCTGTCACTATTTCATAGATATTTTTGAATGCACAAAACAATTATATACTAAAATATCTATAATATGTACACATACATGTTTTCTTTTTCAAATTCAATTCAATTAAAACTTAACATTGGAGACAAATCACTATGAAATTCACAGCACTTAAAAATTCTCGCAATTTTATACAAATTATTCCACAATAACTATGAATAGTAACTTTAACAACAAAAACCTTTCACAGATCTTTATATAACCCTAGCCTGTCTCATTAAAGATATCTGATTGGAATTACAATAAGAATTTCACAACAATGTCTCTGTTAACAAAAGAACACATGTGAATGTCTGTGGTTAAATCTATTGTTATTCAAATAAAAGGTCAAAATAGGATTTTATCAATAGACTCACTATGGAGTTAAGAATATTTTGGAGTTTTCCTAGCTTATCCGAGGGTACAAACAACCTTTTACAGTTACAGCTTTGGAATTAAGCACAACAGGTTGACCAATCTATTGTGACTGGTAGTGAACTGTGAAGCTATAATGGTTAAAGTTTGTAATGAGGAATTAGCTTGGAAAAACCCGCATTTGGCGAATTCTGGATAACATCCATTATCAGACACACTGCTCTTCTTTGACCGTCATGTAATATCACAACAATTAGTACAGAAAATCTAAAGGATCAGAAAGCATCAAGTTTATTATCATATGCTTAGACTTACATCAAAATCCTGATTTTATCTAAAACTGTCATCAACATAAATTCTATTTCTGTGCATTTTTTTCTAGAAGCTTACTTTCTCCATTAAAGGAAAATTAATAGGCAAAAAATTGCAGAATACAAGAAAAATGCCACAATAACTTTATATTGTTTACAAAAATCTCTACCAATCACCAACATAAAACTTTTTACCCAGAAGTTGATGGACTATTATTTTCTGCACCATTTACACGAATAAAGTCTAAAATAACTTTTTCAATATTTTCAGGGGGTTCCATAATCAAAATTTCAGGAACAATAATCTTCAGCAATTGCCAAATATTGTCTTGTAAGCCCTTCAATGTGGTCTGAGTCTCCCCCAATTCCTTTTTTGTTTCTTCTAACTCTCTAGCCCTTTGTAGCAAAACGTGCTTCTGTTCAGTTGGACACAGTTTAAAAAAGCGCAACTTCTTCAGGACTCGCAAATTTCACCACTGTTGGAACTGTCTGTACCCCTTTCGCAACAAAAACTTTCTTTTCTTCTATTGCCTCAATCTTATCTTCAGGTTTAATGTCGCTCAACTTTTTATCCAGTTTTCCTTTATCAGGTTTAAACATCTTCAACCTTGTCTTTATCATTAGCACTTCCATCAACCTTTTTACCCTTGTCTTCTTTTATTCTTTCTGTGCCAACACTGGCTTCTTTATTCTTGCATCACTTATTTCATTAACAGTATCATCTTTTTTCCTTAACAAAACCATCTATCTCTTTAACATTTTCTTTATCATTACTACCCTTCACTTACATCTCTTTTATCATTTGTTCCCTTTTGATCATCACACTTTTCTGTTCTAGTGTCATCAGATATTGTTTTCACTAATGTTTGTATCTATTTCTTTGTCTTCTGGCCTTCCATCTTTTTGTTTTTAATACTTGTTTTTGTCCTTGTCTTCTTTAGTGCCTAGACTAGCATCAGATTTAGTTTTGTGTTTCTACAATACTTTTATGGGTAGCTGGAGTAATAGTCTTAGATTTGTCTTCAGTTAATTTAGAACTGCTTTCTGAGTTGTTTTCAGGATCAACAGACACTGAGGTATCTTCAGTATTATTTTCTGGATTAACCGACAATTCAGTATCATTCACTTGAGAGTTTGTTTTCAGGATCAACGAATTCTGAGGTATCATTAACTTGTGTGGTATTTTCATGATCAACGGCACCTGCAGTACCACTGTCTTTAGTGGTATTCCAGGTTCAAACTGACACTGAGGTATTTTTATCCAAAGTCTTATCTTTAGATTTAGTTTGATTGTCAGATGAAACACTACTTTCGACTTCCATGTCATTAGAAATATCATCTTCATCAAGTGTTAGATCTACAACACGATCATCATCTAAATTTATGGTTACAAATCCTCCTCCTTCTGTTTTTATTTTTGCTACTTTCGCACTGCTTTCATCTTTGCTTGTACTCTTCCTTTTCTGGGGTGGACGAAGTGCATGACTGGGGAAATATAAATAAATATAACAATAACAAACATCATAAATCTCAAAGTCAAACAGCCTATGACAACCTAATAATATTATGTTAATAACCCTATACTGTATTATCAGGAAATGTGAAGCCAAAATTATTTCTGACAAACAACAAGATCAAATATTCCCAAATTTCTGCTTTCAGTTCTATTACATTTATAAGATATTAAGATACTTAGCCAACATTCATGAAATAAGCCAAAATTTAATCCCTGGTAAATTAAATCCCTGGTAAAAATCAAAATGAAACATGTTTCCAGGACATAACTGCTTTTGCTTTGTAATAAGATGAACATAGAGGCATTATATGTGTTTATTTGTGTTTATTTCACTTTCAATTTACAAAATGATTTTTGATGGAGAAAATACATTTTGTAACATTGATCCTGGACTTCATGATGCTAAACAATTTTCAGCCAATAAAAATTGCTGACTTTCATCTGAACAATAAAGTATCTGGCATTGTGTCACACTATGGTAGTCTGCCATTTGTGCAAAATGATTTTTAAATGCTCATCATGTCCCGCCCAATTAAGCCCCACCAGCCAAAACAAAACTAACAACTCTGCAGTGGGGCAGTACTTTGATTGTTTCCCCTGCTACTCCATATGTAATACAACTGCCTGGTGCAAAAACATATAATAAGAAAAGAATATACCTGCTTGAAGAGACTGCAGAACTGCTAGTACCTGTCAAGTCTTTAACTTTTTCCTCTAAATTCTGAAGATTAAATTTTTACAAATCTTAAGTATCTAATGGTAAAATATGATTAAATTATTACATATATATACTGATTTTGTTTTTTCTTGTTTATCAGCAATTGAGTAATAGTGTATGTTTTTAGAAGTTTTACAAACTTTTCCAAATTTCTTTTTGGTTAAAATGCTGAATTTTAAAAATAAAACAAAGGGAATAAATCACTGCATACCTTACTGGCAACATTTGTTAACCGTAACGACTCTGCCATACGTAACATGGCTGTAGACTTCTGCTCAATCTGCTTCTTTTGTATTTCAAGTTGTTTTATTGTATTCTCCTGCATTGCCATCTTCGCCTGATAAACTTTTAATGACTTTTTCGCATGGTCCAGATCTGCCACAGTTGGTTTTCGATCTACTTTGTCCTGGCTTGAAGATACTTCCTGCAATATGCAATATTTCATGACTCGGAAAAATAAGAAAACACTAAGATTTTCTGTGGTTTAAAGTGGTTCTTACTTACCGAAGCTTGGGACATAATCAGAAATTTTTCAGTGAATAAAATTTCATAGTGAAGACTTCTAGAAAAGGATAAATTTGCTTTAAGTGCAGTAAAGGACAATGGATTAAAAATCTAATATGGAAACTCATGGAAACTTGAACTTTTGTTTGTCCTATATTAAATGTTTATTGGTCGGTGCAAATTTCATTCAAGTCTTGTACTTTTTTGTTATAACCAAGTACCTCAAGTTCTGTCTGCTTTCTGTTAATTTCAGACAGCTTCTTTTGCAGCAATTCTTCCTTCCTTTTTAATGATTCTTCTTTTTCCCTCAATTTTCTCTCCTGTAAGGTTTCAACAGAAGGTACATCAAATAAAGTTTTATTATTAAATTATTTCTCACAGTTGAGAATCTTAGAGAAGTTCCAATACAGTTCTTTAATATATCAATTAATTCATCTTCATGTAAAAGTAAATTATGAAAATACATATTACAGGTCTTAAAATGGGCTTGTGTGAGGTGGTTGTGAAATAAAAATGTAAGCCTTAGCTGACAGGTAATAGATTTTTTTCCAGTATCTGCTAGGTGTAAGCTTTATGTGTCACAACCTGGTTATAGCTTTATCTATATTATAATTGTAAGATTGCCGAACCAAACTGAGGATTTTAATATGTTAATCATAAAGCCTTCTTAAGCTAATAAAAAAGCAACATATCAATGCAAAACTGACTTTAAACATCACAACAAGTCATCCTTCCAAAAACTCTTTATCTATTGACCTTGAGATAAAAGTACTTTAAGTGTAAAGGTCAATGCAACCTCCCACTACTGACTATCAATAAATTTCTGGTCTTCCTTTTGACTGTATTGTGACAAATGTTTCAGGGGTTTCATTAATAATGTGCTGCAGGAAATACAATTTCACAAACACTGGTTGTTTTTGCAGTAAAGGCAATTGGAATATAAAATTTGATAAAATTTACCTCTATAAGACGTGCTTGTCTATTTTTCTCAGCCCTGGAAAAAGAATAATAAAATAAATATAATAAGTTAATGCATTTAATAGGCTTATTTTCATGTTGTGGACAAATTCACCATCTTTAATGCCCAACAACAAGTCATTGCACTACTAGAATCCTTGTTCTTATCTTTAGAACTTTTCCTTCAATCCCCTTAAGGCAGCATATATCATGGCACCACATAATTATACTGTCCTCTCTGGTTTTTATGTACAACTGAGTTAAAAGAAGCAATATAGAATTGATAAAAAAAAAAACACAAAAAAAAAAACACACCAAAAAACAAAAAAATTAGCAGAGTTCTCCCAAGACCTCTTAATCTAGATTTGTGTCCTAATAATGGTACACTGAATTACTGACAAAATCATGTCCTGTTGGTAAAATCAATTTGAAAGCATGCATTTAACACAGGTAAGTAAGTTAAGTTTAAACTGAATTTTCCACATATGAGAATTGTCATACATACTGAGTTTTTTTGTATGTTTTACGATATGTAGTTTGTAATGCCTCGTCATCATCCTCGGGCTCTTCTGGAATGTCACAACGACTGCAAATATACAGTATATTTGTTCATTATTAACAGATTGGAGATCCATATCATCAGTTGAAATGCTGTTAAAATTGGTTATTTTTTAACCCAGTAGATTAAAATATCCCACTTGACCCTTGGGCAAATCGGTTATTTTCATTGGTATATTTGTTGCCTCAGATAGAAAAAATGGGTCAAAGACAGAAAAGGCCGGGTTGCATTTGTATACCAAATATCATGAGGCTGTGATGTTACAAAAAATGTTTACCATTGACCATTAATGTCAAAAATTTAACTAAGTCGGTAAACAGGAAGTGGATGAGCGACAGACCTGAAATCGAATCCCACAGTATGGGACCATGAGGCAATGCTGTATGCTAAATATCAAGAAGCTGTGATAAGTAGTTGCTGCAAAAACTGTTAAAAAAATTTCCTCCTACCATTGTCCATTAATGTCGGAAATTTAACCAAGTAGATAAATAGGAAAAGATCATGAGCGACAGATTTGAAATCAAATCCAACCATATGCAACCCTGTGTCAATGCTGTATGCCAAATATCAAGAGGCTGTGATGAGTAGTTGCTGAGAAAACTGTTACAAAAATTTCCTACCACTGACCATTAATGTCGAAAATTTAACTCAGTTGTTAAAGATCCTGTAACACATTATTTTTATGGTTTTATATACAAATTATGATGCTCAAATTAAGATTTATCGATATTGTAAGTTTCAAAAAACATTATTTATAAAGATATTACAGAATTTAATATTTCATGTAAATAAAGGGAGGTAATTAGAATTTAGTTTTCTATAAATTCTAAGTCAATTTTTCCAATAAGAAATGAATGCATATAATTTAATGATTACCTTAAATATGTACAAATATTTGCAATACATATTTTACATATTCTTCCATGTTTGAAAATTGACAAATTTGCATAATTACATACATATATAATTCAATGAAGAGTGGTATGCAATCTCAGGGGGCCTCCGTGGCCGAGTGGTTAAGGTCGCTGACTTGAGATCACTGGTCCCTCACCACTGTAGGTTCGATCCTCACTTGGGTCGAAATCTTTCATGTGAGGAAGCCATCCAGCTGGCTTACGGAAGGTCGGTGGTTCTACCCGGGTGCCCGCTCGAGCCTGAAATAATGCCCGGAGGGGCACCTGGGGTCTTCCTCCACCAATAAAAGCTGGGGTAAAAAATCGTCGAAAAAATCTCGGCGGGACGCTCTAGGATGGCCCGACTTGAGTGTACGGTCGCCCATATGGGCTTTCCGGCGGCGACCTTAAATAAACGCATTAAAAAAAAAAAAAAAAAATATGCAATCTCAATTACAAAACATACAGGATCTTTAAACAGGAAGTGGATGAGCGACAGACCTGAAACCAAATCCCACCGTATGGGACCATGTGTCAATGCTGTATGCCAAATATCAAGAGGCTGTGATAAGTACTTACTGAGAAAACTGTTATGAAAATAATACCATTGACCATTAATGTTGAAAATTTAACTAAGTCGATAAACAGGAAGTGGATGAGCGACAGACCTGAAACCAAATCCCACCGTATGGGACCATGTGTCAATGCTGTATGCCAAATATCAAGAGGCTGTGATAAGTACTTACTGAGAAAACTGTTATGAAAATAATACCATTGACCATTAATGTTGAAAATTTAACTAAGTCGATAAACAGGAAGTGGATGAGCGACAGACCTGAAATCAAATCCCACGGTATGGGACCATGTGTTGATGCTGTATGCCAAATATCAAGAGGCTGTGATAAGAAGTTGCTGAGAAAACTGTTACGAAAATTTCCTACCATTGACCATTAATGCTGAAAATTTAACTAAGGCGATAAACAGGAAATGGATGAGCGACAGCCCTGAAATCAAATCCCACGGTATGGGACCACGTGTAAATGCTGTATGCCAAATATCAAGAGGCTGTGATGAGTAGTTGCTGAGAAAACTGTTACGAAAATTTCCTGCCATTGACCATTAATGTTGAAAATTTAACTAAGTTGGCAAACAGGAAGTGGATGAGCGACAGACCTGAAATCAAATCCCACCGTATGGGACCATGTGTTGATGCTGTATACCAAATATCAAGAGGCTGTGATAAGTAGTTGCTGAGAAAACTGTTATGAAAATTTCCTACCATTGACCATTAATGTTGAAAATTTAACTAAGTCGATAAACAGGAAGTGGATGAGCGACAGACCTGAAACCAAATCCCACCGTATGGGACCATGTGTCAATGCTGTATGCCAAATATCAAGAGGCTGTGATAAAGTAGTTGCTGAGAAAACTGTTATGAAAGTTTTTCCCGCCCGCCGCCCGCCCGCCCGCCCGACATTCACCATACTATAAACCCGGGTTTGCACCAGTGCAACCCGGCCAAAAACCGTGTCATTTAATTCTATTATTTGTTATTCAATGTCTATCAGATGTTATTACATTCCTATTTGATATAACCAAACACAAAACTCTATTACTCCGTGCAACTGTACAAATATATATATTTTTTGGTTTCGTTTTGGTCACACTGAAGCTGTAAAGTTGATATGGCAAATTCCGAGCTTTATTGGTGATGGTTTACCTCAAATGCCAATATGTGCATTATTTCAGTCAGTAATGGGTACCTAAGTAGAACCACTGACCTTCCATCAGCTGGTGGGATACCTCACTGATTGTACAAATATATCCTGGTTAAAATTCAGTATTATTCAAATTTCTTTGATTTAATAAAGGCTGAATCAAAGTTATGTATGAAAATATCATAGGAAGTTCAACATCTATTTATCCATTTCACTACCACAAAGTTAGTTTTGTTTTAAAAGCAACTCAACAATTTTTTTTGTGTCCATGGAATGTTCATTGCGTCACCAACATTCCTTTCTTAAACAAATATATCAGACAGATGTTCATGAATTTTATAAAACAATATGACAATGAAAATTGATAAACAGTTTGAAATATACAGTAATTTTTATTTAACTCAACTTTAAAAACAATTATTATGATTTTTTTATTTCGGAATAAGGGAAAAGAATAAATTTACTTGAAATGAGCGTCGGGTTTAAGGGTAGCATACCTTTTGTCTGGTGTTTCTCACTATACCCTGTTGGAACTCTCCAACTCAACAATTATACACTGTGCCAAGTCCAGTTGAAGCTGTGCCCTTAAAATATATATAGATGTTAAAAAAAATTGAAAAAAAAAAATGAAAAGCCCTTCCCTGCTTCATTAGGGTTTCAGGACAGTATAATGTATTTGTTAATAATTTTAAATTTTAAATTATTCATTAAATACAGAGACAACAAAATAAAGGGGGGTTTTCCTATTATTATAAATGCTCTGTTCACCAAAAGTGAAAGTACCCCCCTTTCCCGAAAAAAAACCCAGCAAATCAAACAGGAGTGACCCGAAGGTATCTTTTAGAGAATCAACTTTTGTTAAAATGTGCTAATATTGAAAGAGTATGATTTAAATGCTCTTGTGTGTAAATTTTGAATTTTTTCTTTATCAAATGACATGAGAGTACTTTTATTTTACAATTACAATTTCCATTTGCAACTTATTTCTGCATTTTTGTACACTAAATAATACTCATATTAAGGAAATGTTAACAACAGTAAATGAAATTATCAAAACATAATAAAATACTTACGAGGTATGAGGTATTGACTTAGAATTCGGATTTTCACATTTTGTCTTCTCGTAGAAGTAATCGTTTAACTTGTTAGCTGCATTCTGCATAAATGCTCTAAAAGAAATATTGTTTAATACACTTATATTGATGGTTAGCTACATTTATACTACAAACAAGCAGTGCCTGTATTTTCCATATTTAATGTTAAAGATTTTGATATAAAAAGAAAAATGTTAAGCAGCCAACTTTATGGTGGGATAATCATACTGTGCTGAAGTGAGGGCTGATTCAGGCAAATCATTAAAGCCAGTAGCATTCAAGGTATTGTCTCCTTACTGTCTTTAAATTATGCCAGGTATTCACTTGCACCAACACTGTAAAGGTCTTATGTAAAACCTTAGATGTATCTCTGTGCATTTTTAAGGCAAAAGTGGGCACAGAAAACACCAAATTTTCATCAAGTTACCTGGATAACTTCCTCACATGAAAGAATCCAAAGTCACTGGTGGGATAAGTATACACTTTAGTGAATAGCAAGTGATTATAAGTCAGGGACCTTACAATGTAATCAGATAGTCAAGTAGGTCTCACTTTCACTTTTATCATAATGTTAGCCCATCTCAATCATGATACTATGTTATACTCCAGTTTTTACAATAAATACAGATTTCAGAATGTATTTGTCATGGATGCTATTTTAATTCTTATAATTTTCAACATGCATTACATTAAATATGCTAGTACTGAAAACTAGAACTAAAATAGACTTACAACATAATGTCAAACTTACAAGTATTTATCTGTCTTGTTGAATTCCTGTTTATTATGTATTGGATCTAGAAAGTTACACTCCACAACCCCAATCACACCAACACCATGATCATTCGCCTGTATAAATATAACATTGTCACTTTTATAACACATATGTTTATCTACAGTCACCAAAAGTAACACCCACAAGAAAGATTGTCATTTCATAGGAGGCTAGTATAATGTCCCTTGCAAGTATCAAGAATATTAAGCTAGTGCTTTAAATTGAATGTTGCAGGTTCAAATCTTGTCTTGACCATTTTCTTCAAGGTTTCATTTTAAAGAGACTCCACTGAGATTGTGTGACATGATGGGACTGAAAATATTTTTTCCCAGATAAATGTACCATTTGAATGTAGGTTAAGACCACTAATCTTTGTGCACAATTTCAGATCATTTGCGCACTTCTTTTTTCCAGAATAGTTATTCAAATTGTAAAAAAATGACCCAAAATGAAAAGCGTTTAAATGCTTTTCACTCAAATTGGGCTAAGAAAAGCATAAAAATATGATTTTCAATTTATTGCAAAGTATATTTCTTAACTATTTTTGCATATCTTTCTGTTTAAAGTGCCCCAGCTCATTTATGTAAGAAATTCAAATGTTATGTGTTTAGGCTTTTAAACCTCAGTGGAGTCCCTTTAAGAAATTTGACCACAATATACATGAAAATCAAGCTGATTATATTAATCCTGCATTTCATAATATAAAGAATTGAAAAACATACTACTATTAAAATTAAACGTTTGGATCATAATTAAACGTAGAAACTAAAAGTCTAAAAACTTTCTGAAGATTAATTTATGTGGTTATTACTGTCAAACAACCCTATAAGAAAGCCATAATGATTATATGTAACCATTTAATTCAGTGAAATAACTGAAGTCACTTACTTGTTTTTGACAACCAATTTTCTCATAGGCTCTGATAAGTCGGTTCTTATGGTACATCATCAGACCATAACTGTCTGGTTCCTTATTGCTAGTAAACCCAAATATCAGCTTCACTGGCTTATTCTGTTTAAATGTTAAGGTCAATCTTTCTTCACCCTGTATTATGGCAATCTTACTTCACCCTGTAAAATGGCAATCTCACTTCACCCTATATAATAGCAATCTTACTTCACAACCTTTATAATGGCAATTTCACTTCACCCTGTAATAATGGCAAATCTTACTTCACCCTGTATAATGGCAATCTCACTTCACCCTGTATAATGGCAATCTAACTTCACCCTGTATAATGACAATCTTACTTTAACCTGTAAAATGGCAATCTTACTTCACCCTGTATAATGGCAATCTTACTTCACCCTGTAATAATGGCAATCTCACTTCACCCCTGTGTAATGGCAATCTTACTTCACCCTGTATAATGGCAATCTTACTTCACCCTGTGTAATGGCAATCTTACTTCACCCTGTTATAATGACAATCTTACTTCAACCTGTATAATGGCAATCTTACTTCACCCTGTATTATGGCAATCTTAATTCACCCTGTATAATGGCAATCTTACTTCACACTGTATTATGGCAATCTTATTTCACCATGTATAATGGCAATCTTACTTCACCCTGTATAATAGACTGTCATGCTTTCATTTGGAACAGACCTGTCTTCAAATTATAAACTAAACAGGTTTAATATCAAAATTGCTTGTTTGTACTTTTTTAAGTGAGATTTCAAACACATTTTTTTATCAATAATGACAATCGGTCACAAA